TTGCTGCTTCACATGTAAACCATCCGTGACTCAAGTGTGTGTCCTTCACAGCGAGGTAAACAAGCCTGAATGGGAACAGAAGAACCTTGACAAGGCGATTGGGTAAGTCTCACATGCACATGCAATATATGCAGACATGCACGTGTGTGTGGAGCGGGGAAATCTGGGCTGCTGCTGCTGGAGCTGTGTGAGGTTTGGCCTCAATACAGAGCAGCTTCAGCACGTGACGCTCACAACAAGCCAGCATATGCATGTAAGTGCGTTGTAGAAGCAGGAGGGACTGTGTTTATGTGCTAATGGGCAGGAAGTATTTTACTACTGTGTGCCCTGCTGTACTGCTACGCTGGCTTCTGTTGTCAGTCTGCATTAGCGCCGAATAGAGCCGAGGATTGTTGTGAGAAAACAAGTGCGACATCGCAGCAGTGTCTTTAATAAATAGACAGTTTGTGATTTCCACTGAGTGTGGACTTTGTCATGAAGTGAAATGTTAAAGATGTTGAGCACACCATTATGGCCGAGTGATGTTGGGACAGTAATCCTGTTAATCTATATTTTATGCCTTTAGAATTTTAAGTCCTTGTGTTTAATGTCTATGGTAATTTGATTACAGAGGCTCTCTTTCCATCTGTTTGAGTGTAATCTCCGTTCTCTAAAAAACATAAAATCTTTTGTGAAATGGAAAACCTGCTGTCTGCTTCTCCTCTCCTGTCACAGCAGTCTAACAAAAAACAGGGTCCCACCTACTGATTTAGTAAATATTTTGTCCTCCAGGTATTCCTTTGCCATTGTGGGCATCAACATCACAGATCTGGCCTACTCTCTGTTGGTGAGTGGAGCTCTGAAGACCCATCTGTACAATGTGGCTCCAGAGATGCCCAGCCTGCTGCACTTCCAGCAGACCTTCTGTGAGTAGATTGGATTGGGATGAACAGTATTTTATCTTTATTTTTCCTGTATATTGATTTATGTATTTTTCATTTTGCTTAGAATTTTGTAAGTTTTTGCATCAGAATTAAAAAAAGTTTTCTTTTAAAGTTTAAGGCTGGGGAGATGTTGGTATACAGAACTTGCATAAAATTGTATTTTAACCAAGTGGCATCTTCCAAAGCAGGTCATTCTCCAAATACCCCAAGCTGAACATATCAATAATACAAGTTTAAAGCCTGAGACAAATAACTGTTTTTTTTCTGTTTGGGTAGTTTCAACCTTTATTCCAACGGTATATCTGGGAACTCTTTTTATAACTAATGTTTCTGCAGATTGTTAAGGCTTATAGTTTTAACCAACGAGCATACCTGGGATAATCCTTCTGAAACTTAAAATATCCAAAATGTACAAAATGTATTTTGGATTACTATTATTTTATTATTATTTGAATTAATCAGTTTGGCCAAAAATGGGTTAATGGACTTCTATAGCAGCAGAAGTCTATGGGGTCCACCACAGGTAGCGCCCCTGGTGGCTATTTCTGCATTGCATCCACTTTTCTGAGCCAGAACTACGTTCATCTTTTAAACTGTGAGAGCCTTATCTGTATACAGTCATAGAAAAAAATCTCTAATGCCCTAAAGTGGCAAAAAATTAAACCACATAGATTGTTAAACAGATGTCATTAACTTTCAGCTGTTTGTTTAACAGTGTGTGCAGATTTGTAATTGGAAGCTTTTTCTCTTTTCCACCTGCTATGGTAAAAAAAAGAGGTGTTGAACTGTGTGGTGGAAAAATAAGAAAGATGCTAAAATGCAGTACGAGCATAATTACTTGTGGATTAGCTGCACATATGTGTCTATTTACTTTCTTTCTTGGCAGGTTACCTGATGCAGGAGTTCCACCGCTTCTGGATTGAGGAGGATCCCAG